GGAAAATGACCTTCTCTTTCCAGACCTCCTCATCCAAACATGAAGGGGCCAGATTTGAAGATCTCTAAGGTCTCCAAGTATCACAAACTTGGAAGGCCTGTTCCTAACATATTCTAGTGAGCAGTCATCACTGCACATAGCAATTAACAGCCAGGAGAAAAAGAGCCCCTAGCAGTGTAGCAACAGCAGTTCAGCCTGAGACCCACACTGTCTGGGGCAGAGAGTCAAACAGTGCTCTCTTCCCTCCTCTCTGAGAAATGATGTTCTCCTTAGGGTGCTGTGGCAACAGAAATTTAAAAACTCCCTCCGTTACCTGGAGTTGGCCTTTAGCCAGTGCTGATTTTGTCCTGGGCAGGTGGTGGTGAGACAGTGACACCTAGTGGCCATCTCTGCTAATCCCAGCCCAGCCTGACGCTTAACAGAAAGAAGTCCAGCCCTTGCTGTGGCTATATTGACATTAATTCACAGTGTGAGCGCTGAGGGGAGCGAGTTGTAATCTCAGCCTCGCAAGTGCCTCTGATCTTAGTCCGTTTCTTCAATTAGGAGTTTGGCCTAGCCTCTAAATCCTTCCCTTGCAACTCCCTTCTTCTCTGAGTTTCTGCCACGCTTGTAGTTCTGAGTCAGGATCCCTACCTGGTAGGAGCAGACTAGGCTTGAGCCCAAGGACACTGGATTCTGCCCAGGAGATCAGGCACATGCCTGTCCACACACCCAGCACTGTGTAACAGGCAGGACCACATGGCCGGGCCATTGGCTACACATGCTCCATGCCAAGGACTGCTTTTATCCCAGCTGCCAGCTATGGAGGCGGGGAAAGCGTAAAACCAGCCAGCATGAGGTTGGTTAATGTTCTGTGAGGGTCAGGGAGCAGTAACGTGGCTCTGTCCACTAGGGTACCAGAATCTTGCCCTATTCCTGAGGTCCATGGAACTCACATAGTCCTAAAGAGTCACGCAGGTGAGTTCTTTTTAGCCATTCTACTCCGATACTTATATCCCACAAATGGCAAAGGGTAGGGAGCGAGGCACAGGCTAGCTCAAGTGAACTGAGGACAAGATATCTCAGCTCGGGGGCCGGGGATTTAGCTCAGTGGTTCTGTCGCCTGCCTTGCAAGCGCAAGGACCCGAGTTCGATCCCTGGTACCAAAAAAACAACAACAACAAAAATAAATAATAAAATAGAAGATATGCTTTAAAAAAAAAAAGATATCTCAGCTTGCTGGGTCCTTCCTGGGCCTATATTATTCTCACCCTAGAAGAGCAGGGCTCCTATCTCTTGAGTCATGTTTCTCATCATCAGCTTTTGGCCTGGGTTTATAGGCCATCCTGGAAGTATAATCTTTCACTGCCTCGTGATTTCTCCAGATCTTGGTGCGTTCTAACAAGCCAACTGCAGAGATGTTGGCTGTGACTTTTCATTCCTTCACATTCCCCTCCAGGCCTTCCCCAGGCTGTCACCAAGATGCACACAGAAGTAACACTTCCTTAAGTAAGGAGGTCATTCGCTTGGGTTGGGGATGCAAATTCTAGAGTTGCCATAGTTTCTGGCAGTGTGTGGTGATTTTACCTATCATGAAATGATATGTGTAATCATACTTTTTTGAAATGAGAGCAAGTACACCACTATTTCAAAACATGTATCATATGTTAGTTAGAGTCCTGTCGGGAGACAAAAATCACGCCAGCAACTAGAATAAGAAAAATGTAATATAAAGTATTGTAAACTAGTAAAAGGCACTTAACTCCTAAAAAGGGCAAAAGAAGACCACAAGACAGTAAGTACAGAATGCAATGCCACCCCTAAGGCTAAGTGAAATTTCCCAGAGAAGGCCCTGAGACTCCAGATAACAGTATTTTACAGGTTGCCTACAGATTGGAAGTGGTGCTCCTGAGACCCCTTGCTGGATATTGGAGCCAATGGCCTCCCACACACTCCTGGCAGTCACTGTAGGAAGAACACAGGCACCTGGAGCCAGGAATCCTTCTTCCTGTGTAGGCCTTGCCGTGTCCCTCTAGCACCCTCTATGGACAAAATTGAACATTGCACCAGTGGGCTAAAGAAATGTTTTCAAGGTCTAGCTAGCCCCAGCAGGACAAATTAGGGCAAAGGGGAGCAGATTTGGAGTTGACAACAGGCACACTTTATACCAGGACCTGTGTTGTGCATATCCTTCACGAATCTCTTATAATTTTATACCCGTAAGTCTTTGAACTAGATATTAACATTCCCATTTTAATAGTGGGAAAACCCTAAGAGCTACCAGAAGTAGCTTATGTGGCTGAGCTGATGTTTGAACTGGGGTGTGTGTGTGTGTGTGTGTGTGATTCTAATGTATATTTCTACACCAACCCAACAGTGCCTCTCTCTTTGTAAAGAATTAAGGACAGTAAGATTTATAGTATGGAAGGATTCAAGATGGTAAGATTTTGTTCTTCTCCTTCTAGTCCCTCCTTTTCTATTAAACCACCTGACCCTTCCCAGCTCTGACTCATGGACCCTTTTCCATGGCAAGACAGACCATGAGACATGTCCTGTGGGGCTTTAAGGCTGTGACTCCCAAACTAGAGAAGAGAGTCCAGAGTACCTCAGGAGATGCCTGTTTAGTAGATTTGGGGTGGGAGGAGGGAACCTGGGATCTGCATTTAATAAACTCCGCAGAAGTCTCCCATGTACGGTAGGAAAAGAGCATCCCTCTCTATGGCCCGGAAGTGGGAAGTGGGAAACGGCCTGGCCAGTGACGGGAGAGAGAGACCAAGATAACAAGCTCATCTCCACCCCAGCTTCCCATGAGAAAGTCAGTAGCGATACTAGGTTTCCAAAATGAAAATCAGATAAGGGACATGGATCTGCTTCATGGGTGATGAGTTTTAATGGCTCGAAAGAGGAAAAATTGATTCCTGTTTGTCCGATGGGAAATGGGAGAAGCAGGCCCCTTGGCCTCTTGCCTGGCAGCCTATTCAGGCATATTTTCTGGACAAGAGCTGTGTCAGAATTAGAGCATGCCAGGGGTCCTCTCATCTGACTCAGAAATAAGGGCCACCAACTTCTGAGCACCAGTGATGAGACAGGAATGATGCTACATTCTCAAATCCTTAAACCCTTTTCAGGGTTTAACACCACAACTTCAGATGAAGAAACAGGGTTGCTCATGCCCAGGCAGGTACAAGGGGAGAGTGCAGCCAGTCACACCCCAAAGCCAGGCTCTTTCCACTAGTCCATGTGACCTTGATAAAAGAAAATAGCATCTGGCCCAAGCGACCCACTAGGGGCAGCCAGGCCCATGAGGAAGGCTGAGCATTCACTGCCCTGTTAGCCAGCTTGACTAGAGAAATACGGTGCAGCACAGCCTCGCAGGAGGCCAGAGCCTGACCAGGAAGCCCAGAGTGTCCCACTGGGGAGAAGGGGACATGGTCCCAGCCCCGGGTGCATCCAGACACCTGGAGATGAGGGTGAGTTCACAGCGAAGCCTGCAAGGTGCGTGCCTAAGGTAGTGATCCATTTCCATAGTAACTGTCACCCCATTGCTAACCAGTGCAACCTGCAGGGAAGCCCGGTGAGGGGGGCCTGATACAGAGGCACAATACACTGAGGGGATTGGTGTCACTGTGGGACTGTGAGCTCCTTCAAGGCAGCAGCTCTGCCCCGTTTAGTGCCGTCTCCAGTGGCAACTGTGCCTGTCCCAAGCTGAGCCCGGAGTAGGAAGCTGCATGGCCCTGTACAGAGACACAGATCTCTGCCACCTCCTGCCACATGACCTTGGTCTTCGCTTCAGGGCCTGGCTGCTTCCCCTGTAACATGGTTATTTGAAAACATTGCCTCTGCTCCCAACCCACGGATGTCCAACGCCCAGAGTGACCTGAAGCATAAACTGTGCTCTGGGGATGGGGCAGCAAATCCAGGTCCATCCATGCATCTGGTAGGCAGAGGAGGCTGCACAGGGTGGGCACGGGCATGGGGGAACCTTCTGCTCAATTTTCCTATGAATCTAGGACTGCTCTGCAAGGGCTAAGGGGTGAGGAAAATACTTCCATGAAGGTCTCGTGAGAATTGAATAAGAAAATGCTGTCAAAGGCCCTCAGGGCAGAGTGAGGGAGCATCTCCCTCCTAGGAGCCAGGAGGCCCCTGACAGCAAGCAGGGTGCTCAACTCCAACACACCCCACCTCCCACAGGAAGCCCTGGGTGGGGTCAGGGGTGAGAACCGAGGGCCAACTGGGCCCAAGGCCCTCGCTACTCACCAGGAAACAGGGCAGCAAATGCGGCCCAAAGCTGGATATAACACCAGGCCAGGCCTCGGATCTGTACGAGGAGCCTTTCCTCCCCTCTGGCAGACAAGCCTCTTCCAAGCAGTGGAAGGAATGAGAAAGAAGTGGGCTACTGGGGAAAAGCACGGACCTGGCCGGGCTGTTCCCCTGCTCATTTGCTCCCGGCACACGAGGCTCGCCCTTCTCTCACTTGGCCCTGCAGCCATGCTGAGGTCATGCGGCAGAGTGGAAAGACAACAGGCTGGTGTCTGGGCATCTACGTTTCAGGCCCAATTCAGTGGCCTACTGTGACTATGGGAACATCTCTCACCTCTCTGTGCCTCGGTTTCCCTAGAATGGATTCCTCCCTTCCTTCTATCACTGAGTCAAAAATCTCTAAGGATCCTTCTTATAGTGGTGTTATTTTTTAAAGAAACAATGTAGTTTAAAGGCACTGGAAGAAATATAAAGCAAACACACAAAGCATACCGATAAAACTGTAAACATTTCCCTCACCTGGGTTTCCCGAGTTGGTGTGCTTCCTCCCAGGCTGCACTTCTGTAGGCTGGGAACGTGACTGCTTATTTGAAAAGGTCTTGGATAAGCCTGGAGACTGCAGAGCTATGGTCTTGCCCTCGGTGTCTGTCCATAGTTGGTCAATCTCTGCTCTCTTGGCAAAGCGAAGACAGTGTGAAGCTAGAAAACCAATGGCTGCTTCCTGGACCACTGATCCCGATTCTCTTTGTGTGTCTCCACAGTCAGACCCACGCTCCCTCCCAGGGGCCAGCAGAGAACCCAGAGCTCTGAGGAGTGGGGAAGGAGTGAGCAAGAGCTTCAGTGAAAATCCCAGACCTGCCATGTACTTGCTTCTGACCTTTGGAAGCTGCTTCATATCTCCGAACTGTGTTGTGTTGGATCTCTTTGATGAAGGGACCGACTCTACCTGAGAAGGTAACCGTACAGATTAAGGAAAATGACCCAAATAATGTCTCTGGCCACTTTGTTTAATAAGATATGAGGAATCTCATCCTCAAGTGAAATGAATGGTGTCAAGTGGTAGGCTGGTGCCTAGGAAAGATCCCATACCTAATAGCTCTTGTCACATCCCGGCCATTTCCGGTCTGCAGTCATTTTCCTGCCCTTCCCTGGGACCTCCAGGTGGCAGCATGGGGCTGTGGAAGAGTCTTCTGTCTCAGGCTGTCACCTACAGACCAAGAGCCGGTAGGACCTTGAGTGAGGAGACCCACAGGGTTATTTCTTGTGCTCTTACCCTGTTGGGTGAGGGGCAGCATGTAGCACAGCACCTTAACCTGAGTTCTGGGTCCTTCCGAGGGAGGGCACAGGTAGGCAAGGGGCTCCTGACCGAGGGAAGCGCCGGCAGGGTGGAGCAGGGTCAGGCCTCATCCCTGATCCCTAGGCCCGGGCCTTGCTTTCTGGCAACTTCTCCAGCCCCAGGAGGGGCGGGACCAGGCCTGGAGCCACCAGCCAAGCCCACAGCTCTGCAGGAGGCCCGGCCTCGCTCTCTGGAGATCAGACACCTCAGGCCTCACTCTGTCTGCCTCCCACACCAGGACCTCTTCCAATCTGCAACTAATCTTTGCCAAGAGCCAGAGGGATTTGGGGAGAACTTTGTCCAAATCCTGGGCTAATCCTCCTCTTGCCTGAACTCCTTTAGGAATTGCATTTGCAGCCTGGTGGGCTCTAATCCTCTCATCCCCAAATGTTCCCAGGGAGCCTCTGGGGCAGCCAAATGTGCAGACCGGAGCACACCTGTGACCTCCGCTTGTTCTGCTCCGCTTCTTCTTTCTCCCCTCTGGGAGTCTCACTGTAAAGCAGGCTGGGGAGAAGGCCGAGTCTGTGCCCAGTGGTCTCTGGATAGAGTGCAGTAGAGCTGAGGAGCGCCAGCCCCTGGCCCCTCTGAATGACTGGCTTTCAGAGGGATGCTCGTGTTAGAAGCTAGGGCCTTGGTTTCCTCGCCACTTAGATGGGGAATGAGTTGTCTTACCTGGAAGGGATGCTACAAGGCTCTGCCGAGACCATAAGCTTACTGAGCTTAAGCAGCACCTGGTATGTAACAAACATTTGGTCAGTTAGCTGTGGGCAACCTGGGGTATCTACCTGCCACTACCACAGCCCCCCACTCTCTTCCACCTCTGGAGGCATTGACCCTAAGGACCCCAGACCCTCAGAGGCCAGGAAGCAAACAGATGAGGGACAGCTCTGGGCAGGTTGAGCCTCTGTGGGCTCTGCAGGCTCTGGTGCTTTCTGCACATCTACGGTTCTTGCCAAGGAGGTGTCCAAGAACCTGCAGCTTTGACGGTGTCACCGAATAGAGGAGAAATTCAAAATGTGGCCACCATTGGGTTAGGGTTCTATCTCAGGAGGGATGTAGTAGTACAGGGCCAGAGAGGCAGGCACTGAGGAGGGGCTGTCTTCGTCCTTGTCAGGAGCAAGCTCATCACAGCCCCCACTGGACAGAGAGGAAGGTCCCAGCCAGCACCCAGGGGACCACAGTGGGGAGACAGAAGGGAGGGGCTAGGCAAGTGCAAGCCAACTTCTTTCATCTTTGAGGCACAGAGTATTGTTTGCAATCCACAAATGAGCAGGCTTCCACTGCCCCTAAGCATGAGATTAGATTGGCTAAAACTCTCTGTTGCAAGAGTTCAACTCATTCCCTGAGATTTATGCTCAGGCCCCGACCTCCTGTCCTGAGCACTCTATCCCTGTCTCTTCTCGGACTCGGCAGTTATTCCCTTATGTCCTCCCAGATGTTGGCCAAGTCACAGACTCCTGAGTCCTTTCCCTATGTCTACACCACATTGGAAGAAAAAAACCTGTAGATCTTCAGGGTAGAGGGTTAAAGGCCCTCTCCGGGGCAGGTCCTGCTTAGCCCAAAGCACAGATGCCCTCCCCTAGTCAGCCAGGAGCAGCTCCTCACTGGGAATCACAAGCTTGTCTGACTGACACGTGGTGGAGGCCGGGCCACCGAGCCCAGAGAGGCGAGCTGAGCTGGCCTGCCCCCAGGCTCACATGTTAGATGCAAGAGGCCATGCTTCCCACTGCTCGGGAAATGTCTTGGAGGGTTGCTGAGCCCTTTCTCCTCTCTCCGCCTAGAAACCCTCACCACTTTAGTCACTTGACTGTCAGGAACCTGAGAGCTAAGGAAGGAAGCAAGGGGTACAACAGGAGTCTCTAGCTCTCACCACCCGTCAAAAGTGATTCGAAGACACACTGCATTCCATCAATAATCGTCTTGCTTTTTAAATGTAACAAACATTTATCTCACAATAAAGTTCATGCAGGAGCCCTGATGTACACAAAATAGTGAAAATAGAACCATCGGGCTGAATTTGGAGCAGGCAGAGCCTATCCTACGTCTCCATCCACACCCCTCAGAGCCCTCTCTGAGCGCTGGAGAACAGAAAAAGGAAGCAAAATGTCTCTTTAATCAATTAAGGACATTCAGTTTAACTCCTACCAAGATAAGCACAAATTAAAACTGCACTGAGATACTATTTTTGTCCCATCATATTGGCAAATATCCAAAAGTTGAGGAGTGTTCTATTTTGGCAGAAATGTAGGAAACAGACAACTCTTAGGATTTGTATAGGAGGGAATCTAAACTGGTACAGCACCTGTAGGGGGCAGTTTGGCAATGGCTAGAACACAAATGAGTACATTCTTAGGCCCAGGAATTTCGTGAGCAGTGTTTGATCCTGCAGATAATCTCTGCCCAGCAGGAAATGACATATTGAGGAAGTGACATATTGGCACTGTTTGTAAACAATATCAAAGGCAGTAACCAGCCTAAATGTCCATCAGGGGAGATGCTTAAGTAAATGGTATGTAGCTAAATAAATGCAAGACCCAATAGAAGAGAATACTCCACAGCTGTGAAATGAGAAATATTTTACACTGATCAAGAAAGATCTCCAAAACTTATATTTTTATTTTTTAAAAAGAAAGACGACAGAACAGTGTGTAAAATATGCTACCAGCTGTGAAAAATAGGTGGAAAATAATGCCTAGATATTTTCTCGTAATTGCATAAAATATTTCTGAAAGGACAACGAGAAACTAGTAATACTGACTTCCAGTCTAGAGAACAAGGCAGCAGGGGAATAGGAATGGAAAGGACATTCTTTTGATTTTTGGAACATGTGATAGTATATGCTCTTCAAAACTTAAATTTATTTATTTATTTTAAGAGGAGGAAATATTTATTGAGGGAAAGATAGCTTCTGTCTAAGAGATACAGAAAGAGACCCAGGAAGGAGGGTGTCCCTCAAAACTTAAATTTAAAAGTGTATAAGAACAAATAACAAATAAAAAGCTAGAGCATGAGATAAAAACTAATGATATAGGAGAACTATAACTTCCCAAGTTCGTGCCCCCTGAAATCAAAGAATGAATTCCAAAGGACAAAGGATGTTAAGGGTAGGAAAGGCTTACTGGGAAATAGGAATAGCCACCGAGGCCTTTGGAAAGGGGTAATTTATACAGCAAAGTCACAACGGGGGTACAATGTGGGTCTTAGCTAATATTGATCCAATAGGGAAGCAGGCATGTTATATATATATATATATATATATATATATATATATATATATATATGGCTGACATCATTAACCTTGGCTTGTCTGTGACTTCTGAAACAGGAACATTTGGGGAAGGGATGGGTGTAGGTGGTCTGGTCATCCACCTGGGTGTCTGAGGCATAGCTGGACTTAATGGACTGGGTGGTACCTATGACAGTATAGTCTCAAGTTGCCTTTTATGCCTTAGGAAAGTATGCAAGTCTGGCTTTGTGACTTTAGCTTGAGCCTTTCTCTTCTTCAGGAGCACCTCCAGCCACAGTTCTGATCTCTTTATTTTTCACTGACTTCCATGAGCCCAGTCCCCCTCAGACTGTATGTTAATTTCTATCTAACTTAGCTGCCTATAACACGAAGATACATATTAGTCTCCTACTTTATGCATTGAATGATTTGTACTCTCAAAGAACCCAAAAACAAAAAATATAAGTTAGCTTTTTAAAGATTACTTAACATTTCTAAATAAAGTAAGTTTCTAGACTTTTAAGTTCAAAAGGCTACAGGGGATTTGGCCTCCTGGTTAGTGTATAGGTAGCCACAAAAAGCATTACCCTCACTCTTACAAAAGAAATAGCCAAATAATCTGAAAAATGAAATATTTTCATTAACTAATCAGAGAAGTGGAGTTGCAGGGAAAAAAGCTAATTCAAAATGCAACAGATACCAGGTGCCAGCAAAGGGAAAGAGGACGGGGTGGTTGCTTACTCATCAGACTGCACAGAGCGGAAATAATTCAATCCAACTTCTGAACAGCTTCCTAAGGGCCACGTGTGCGGCCTGAATGACTGAATAAATGCCGTGAGAGCTGCGGACATAAGGGGAGTACATCCCCACTTTCAGGCTCCTCTCCAAGGACCACATTAAATTCTCACAAGAAATAACGGTGGAGGAAAGAACCATACAAATCCCTCTCCTGGTTCGGGTCTGGGAGAAAAGAACAGTGCTTCAAGAAAAGCCCTGAGTTCTGAAAAGACCCTTCTCCCTAAATCCCTTTGGCGGGGAAGAGACCCATTAGGAAAGGGGCAGCAAATCCTGTTGTCTTTGGGACTTGGGTGAAGCCTTACCTCAGCCCGGAGAAGGGAAAAATAAAAACTCTCTATCTCTGGATGAGGAGTAAAATTACATGCAGACCAGCAGTCTTCTGTAGATGAGGTGTGGGGCAGGACTACTGAAATATCCCCAGCCCCAAGACAGAGGAACAGACCTTCTGCTTAAGAGTCACACTGAAGCAGAACAACAAGGATGCTGTTCACTCTTTCCTCAAGCCCCACCTCCAGGCCAAAAAGTGTTGCCTAACAAGGAACAGCAATCAATTGCTGGGGGAAATTCAAAAGCAGAGTGATTTTCTTTAAGCTG